AGACCTGCAACCCGATAACTGAAAGGTGAGACTTCAAATAATAAAGTTTCAAACTTCTTGTATACAAAGACTCGACTTTAGGGCCATGAGGAAACAAAAGATTGCTAGGTGACACGCTAAGTTCAACAATACATGTGGATCACAAGTTAGACTCTAAACACCGAAACAATCTATAATTTATCCATTTCCTAAATTTCTTCCTCTTTCTCACTAATATAACAGACAAACATTGAAGCTTTTAAAAATTTCAACACATTGAAATAAATTTTAAAAAATGAAGAAAAACACACTAAAACTAAACAGGAATCCGATTAAAGAGAGTTCTAATGTGGGGCGACAAATGGCATGAATCAGAAAGAGGGGGAATCATCAGATTCGGCCAAACCCCCGGGCCAACTGCCGCAAGAAGGCAGGAAACAAATCCAGATCAACGAAATATGAAAGAGAGACTAAAATACACGATAGTAATTAGAGATCTGAAGAATTAAATGTGTTGTATTTCGCGTGATTAGAAACAATATTGGAGAAAAGGAGGGAAGTATTAGAACATACCAGATGAAAATGGTTGTGGTCAAGAGTTGTAGGTAATAGTTGTGAATTGGGCGGTGACGGTCGTTGTACAGGCGGCAGCCGTGGCGATTGACGTAGTGGCGCAAATGGTGCGTGGTATGGTGGTCTGCTCAGTTAGAGAACAAAGTTTATTATTATTTTTTTCTTTTTTATTTTGGATTTCAAACCATTTTCATTTCTAGAGTGAAATGTTTCAAAAAGAGTAATTGGCGCAAAACGTCCATATCTTTCAACTTCATTGTGAAAAACGTCCTCACCTTTCATTTTTTGACATTTTTGCCTTCAAATCAACCTTTCATTACGACGAAGGTCCTTCCGTCCATCTCCTGTCACTTTTCCTGTTAATTAAAGAGAGAGACCCAATTTCTTGCCGGTCAATAGCGGTAAAATCGTCCTCACCCAACTGAACCCTTCTTCCCGCCTTCTACGTAGTCCACATAGTAACAGTAGTTGGAAAATGGGTGTGAAAATACTTTAAATTATTACATTAAATGAAGGAAAAAATGTCGTGAAGAACATATATGATATATGGTGAAATCCAACCACCAGGTCCACCATTGCTGCTCTAATGTTGGGTTTCTAGAAAAATATAGCAAGACATATATTGAATGAGTGGTCAATTTATAGAGACAACTACTAGATATTCATTTCTAGTTTATGCTTATTGTGACCACGGGTAAATGGCGAAGATCAAGTGGAAATGGGTGCTGTGAAGTATTTATCATTTCAATGGTACTAGCTCATTTTGGCTTATTGATGAAGATAACGGGTCCTGTTCACTTTTTCTGGAAATCTAATGAACTTTGCGCTAACAATCTCTACGTAGTTATAATTTTTCTTAATACATCCCTACCTATAAAAAGTATTGGCGAGTGACGTCCTTACCTTTTAGAAACATTTGGGAATAACGTCCCTACCTTTTTAAAAAAAATTGGCGAGAGAGTACCCTGTTTTCTTCCATATACCACCTGTTGATATACATCAACTCAAAAGTCCCCAAATATACAATTCTATCACAGAATTTGAGACACAATTCATCCACCAATTGACCGAAATCTGAAACAAAAATATCCACTACTTGCTGAAGCTAAAATAAACGAAAACTGAAGCAAAAATAGACACAATGCATTTCAAATGTCAACATAAGTTCTAAACACCAAAAACAAGTTCCTAAAGTGCTATATTGTATTCACTACCTGATGACAATTTGTGCACTGAACAACAAAAACAAAAGCCAAAAAATTAATAGAACTTGGCAGAGAGTTTTCATCCTAACAAGGTGCTGGAAATGGGTCGATCATTACCGGGCTTTCTCAGAAACGGAAGAAACATGTTGTTCCTCGAAGCCCTGTGGAACAATAATAAACTTTATCAGAAATTTACACATACACTCAATCATGCAAGGCACCAAAATATGAAATGGAAAATGAAAATACCGAACAAATAATGATTCTTACCGTCGCGTCGCTTGCTGGAAAAACTCTCAACGTAGGTTTCCACTACGCCGACTGCTGATATGCGACCATACGAGAGGAGAATGGAGAAAAAATTGTAGAAATGGAAGATAAATGGAAATTTTTGAAGAACTAGAAGGGAATGAAATGGGAACTGCCTCGTATTGTTCGAAGAAAAAGATGAAAATGAAGAGTTCAGTTGGGTGAGGACGGTTTTACCCTTGATGACTTGAAAAAAATTGGGTCTCTCTCTTTAATTAACGGCAGAAGTGACGGGAGTTGGACGGAAGGACCTTTGTCGTAATGAAAGGTTGATTTGAGGGTAAAAATGTCAAAAAATGAAAGGTGAGGATATTTTCCACAATGAAGTTGAAAGGTAGGGACGTTTTGCGCCAATTATCCTTTCAAAAATAATTGAACTTATGCATTGGTTACAGATTATTCATTGAACTAGAAAATACTTTAAAATGCTCACTAGACTTGTTCCATTTGCACTCCATTCCCCAAAATTTATTAATTTTTTGCTAAAGTTGAGGATAGTAGTATTGTGTGATGACAAATGATATGCCACATCACTGATTAATCCTAGTCATAATTAATAATTATTATAAACCTTAAAAAAGACAAATCATGTTCTTCATATGGACACGATTTTCTTTTTTCAAAATCAAGTTTTTTTAATTAAAAAAAGAAAAGAAACATAAAATACACAAACCATGACATGAAATTGGAAGCTCACAAATCCAATTCACGTTTTACCTAATTCCCTCCCAAATTAGAGAAGTGTGAAGCTCCTTGAGAACCCTACCAATTTCTTGACAAACCCTAACCGTAAATATTGGAGATTTGCCCCCAAAATCGACCCCAAATGTTCAGTATTTACACATTACACATATGGAGGGACCATATGAAGGTAACCTGAAACAATTTTTTTTATATTTCATTTGTTGTTTTCGCACTTGATGTCGGTTGTAAAAAGGCATCTTTTTGTGTTGGATTCATGTGATCGTTGTCTGTTTTCTAATTATGGGCTACAAGTATAATAATACTTTTTTTCTTTTTTGGCAACATGGATTCCTGATTTTTGAACTATATTTATAGTTTGTGGTGTAAGTTTTCCAACTCGTTGTCTGACTTAATAACTTTTTTAACGTAGATTACATTGTAGTCCTGGAATTCAATGATTCAGGGAGTAATGGAAACGCTACGGTTGGGACTGAAAATTCCTCAAGCGAGGACCTAGACTTCACAAATTCTAGAAAGAGTTGGACTTCGGAGGGGATGATAATCTGTATGAATGCAACATGACGGATGGGATTGAGGTTGGTTCAAACGTGGGTGAATCGAATGATGTGAATGAGCATGATGTTGAAGTTGATGCTAAGATTGCTGATTTGGAGTACTCTTCCTCTGAAGAGCCTACGTCTAGTTGTCCATTCGATGACGATGTTGGGTATCAATTTCCACAATTCTGGGCCGAGGTTGACATGAGTAATCAACAATTTGTTGCTAATTAGCTCTTTACGGATATTGTAGAGTTTCGAAAGGCAATAAGAACTTATGAAGCTTTGAATGGGTTTAATGTCAGATTTAAGGCTAACAATGAGAGACGAGTACGTTGAAGTGCAAACTATGTTGTAATTGGAGGATATGGGCATCCAACGTAGGTCTAACATAAAGTCTACAAGTTAAGTCATAAACTTTGATTCACACATGCAGTCGAGACCAATACAACAGACATTGGAATTTTGTCTTTCTGACTGACGATTATATTGAGTAGTTTAAGACAGACCCAAATGGAAGACTAAGAGTATACTTGCGATAGTGAATGATGATATGAAAACTGATATTACCCGGAATGTTGGCATGGAAAATGAGAAAATATACAAAGAAATTATTACACGAGACAATTGATGAGGTGTTTTGTAAGTTGTGGTGTTATGCTGCGAAAGTTTTAAGGATTAATCCGGGTTTGACCTTTATCATTGCCAACCACAATCAAGTTTTACAAGGCATCTATGTTTATTTTGAAGCATGCAAGAAAGGTTTTGTTAATGGTTGTAGAAAGGTTATTGGAGTTGATGGTTACCATTTGCTTGGATGTTTTAGTGGAATAATGCTAAAAGTTGTTGGTCATGATGCAAATAATCCATATGAAGAACACAGTTTCAGAGATTAAATGTCATTTTTTAAGGTTTGTAATAATTATTAATTGTGACTAGGATTAATCGGTGATGTGGCATGCCATTTGTCGCCATGCGAGATTACCATCATCTACGCCAACAAGAAAATTAACAAGTTTTGGGGAGTGGGAGATGGAGTGCAAACGAGACAAGTGCAGTGAGCATTTATAGTTCGGCCAACAGTCCATGACCAATGCATAAGTTCACTGATTTTTGAAACATTTCACTCTTATTTCTACTTTAAATTTTAAAATATTTTGATTCAAATTAAATGAAGGCTAAATATATTCACGCCACTATTGAAGACTGCATTTTAATTGAATAAAAAATTCATAACTTTACATATTTAAAATTTATTTCTCATTTTTTAATTGCGTTCTTATTTTTTTACTAACATAAATTGTTCGTGAATATGGTTTTTCTCCAAAATATTTTTTGAGATAAGGTAAAAAGACTGTTTTTGACCATTGTAGTTTTAAATAATAAAAAACAAATAATAATGTAAAAATGCGATTAAATATTTGATAATCATTTCAAAGCACGTTCACAATATTTTTAGACCAAAATCATGATTGATGACAAAATTATATGATTAATGAAATGTTTAAAATAAAAATGTGAAGAATTAAAAAGTTAAGGATATAAGTGTGATAATAAATAAAAATTAATGGCCTTTAATCTAATTAAAATGTGGTGTATATATAAAACAAAATATGTTGTGTATTTATGAAAAGTGCCGTGTGAATATAAAAATTCTTAAGTGAATGACTTTAAATTAATTTCAATTAATTCTTTTTATATTATTATGTAATATTCTTTTTAACTTAAAAATGCATTATCTCACAAGTTTCCCCTTTTAAAAAAAAATGAATGGAAACTTATTGGTCAAACATGAATTTTGGCCAATAAGTTTATGATGAATACGTATTTATCATTTTCAATGATGAATTTTTCATCTCAAAAAAAGAAAAAAAAAATGTAATGAAATAAAACAACTACTTATGTGCTAGGTCAAATTTGCCCCATTAAACTAAATTTAGATCATAATAAGTTATTGATGTTTAATTTATCTAGTTATTTTTAAGTACATTTTGTGCTATCTCCCATCCTATCTGATAAAAACGGATCTCATGATCTTAAGTCGATCTTACCTAAGATCGTAAGTTCCAAGTTTTCCGATGAAGAGTGGATTTAATTGTATTAGTGTCTACAATTAATTTTTCCTATCTAATACTAATCGATAAAACCTCATTGGTAAGTGCTACATGATCTCGTGCAAACCCACGATTATGGACCTGAATCATTAAATTATTAGTAAGTTACTATTACTATTTTACATTCATTAAGCTATTATTTGTACTATAGTCAATTTTTATATCCAGTCCCTAATTATGCATTACATTATTATTCTAACAACAATTAGTCTATGGGTACAGGAAATACCCATAGAATTCAAACAGAATTTTGAATGTGCTGACCTGACATAGAATTATTCGTTTTTTAATTCCTTTTCAATTTAAGCCAAAAACTGGTTCCAAAAGCAAATTGGTTTGACCCTTAAAATGAACCCATCTTCATTTCCCCCAAATTACAAAGCAAGAGGAAAATCGTCACTTTTTTCATCGTCGAATTTGTGGTCCTCCAAAGTCGGTTGACATCTAGACCAGTGATTGGCGTGCACCATCTGATGTATTGTAAAGACGACAGTCCACCGAAACCCAACTTGGAAACTGTATTTGAAGATAACAGTTGAATCGTAGATGTTGAGCAAAGGTATTTTGTTATTTACTGTTTTATACATTTCTTTATCAAATTTAAGGTTAATTTATGGTTAAGCTATCTTAGACTTGTTTGCACGATTTGAATGTTTTTTCCTCTTTATTTTGTCATATATTTGAAGTATATTGGTTATGGAGCCTGATTGTTGATAAAGTTGAAGTCTTTGATTTCTTGTTCTTCATAAATTTGTGAGTTTGTTTATAAATTGATGGTTTTTCAGAAATTTTGTGGCAAAAAGCTTTTTGATTCCTAATTAAATAATAGCATATCTTGCTCTATTATTGATTGTTATTCAGTTTACTAGGATGTTATTGAAAACAGCATGTTGCTTCTTGCTTCTAAATAGGGTAGCTCATACATGAAATTTTGAGAATTCAGCTTTTTTCTTTATTTTGTTTTAGCAATTTATTGTGGAAAGTTTGATGAATTTGATACTTTCGTTCTTTGTTTATATTGTGGAAAGCTTTCTGATTTTGTGGCAAATTTCAAAGCTAAATGATGGTGGAAGAAATTATCCTCGTTTTATTGAATTTGTATTTGCAAGGTGGTAGTAAATGTATCTTATTGAAATGCAATTAAGTCAATGCTTTGTTTGTAGTGTACTGCTAATAATAAGTTCCAATGTGGGATTTCATAATTTAATTGCATTCATGTGGTTTCTTCAACAATAGTTGACTAGAATGAGAAGAAGGAATTTCGGAGTTTGTCACAGCTATAGAATTAACACTCACTACTTTGGACAATACCAAACAAAACGTGGATTCCCTTCATGTAAATGCGGATTTCAAAAATGTTTTGAGATAAAACGAGATACTGGAAACAAAGGGCGCTAGTTCTTCACGTGTAATAATGACTGTTGATTTTTCAATTGGGTGAAAATGAAGATTCAAGTGGGGAGTCGAGTATCTTTAACGAAGAGGTGAATCATGAGCCCAATGAGGAATATGAAGACTTGCCAAGAATCTTCGACGGCCTAGCTCGAATTTTCGAAAAATGAGACATGGACATAACATTGTACGTAATATTTCGCAAAGGAAAAAGGAATTGTAGAATGTGATGGGAAAGAGAAGGGACCAACGTGAACGGGTAATGTCAGTTTTTATTTGCTATATGCTTTGTTCGTACCATAAGACTTCTTGATCATAGTAGGCTCCAATGTTCAATACTTAATTTGTCAATGTCGTTCGAGCATTGGACATAAGTTTAATATTTTGCGAATCATTGTAATATATTAACAATTTGGATATCTGTTTCATATCATGGTTTATCTTGTGACTCATTGTAATATATTAACGGTTTGGATATATGTTTCATATATGTTACAAAAGGGCATGGAAAATAGAAACATAAAACACATAGGAACTGTCACTCAAAAATTTATCATCAATACAGTCGAAATGGGTCGTGCCTATGCTTTTTAGAACCGTCGATGACATTAGGTGGTTGTCAGTCCAAACATCCATTGAAACGAGGATAGAAGGTTAAAAAACTGGCACCATTAAATCAAAAAGATTCTGGAAGCTGCCAATCATACATCACAAACCAGTTTAACAAAATGAACTAAAAGTGAACCTAAGAGATATTAGAAACATATTTAAGAGTTTCAAGCTATTTAACCAACAATAGTTTGGAAAAATATTTCAATAGAAACAATGGAACCGGTCCAACCCAAATCACATGATAGATTGGAGACGCTGATGAAACCCATATTTCATGTTTACTTTAACTGGAAATCATGATTTCTTAAGATGAGGAAAACAAGCATAAACATAAGCTTTAGGGTGCTTTGCTTCAGCATTTCCCCTGCATTTCACCTCTGAAGTAGTGCAGATAAATGTCTTCATGCACACCTTGTACAACAATTTAAAACCGCCAAGCAAACGATGATAAATGCAATGGATCACTAGCAAAAAATGAACGCATAGATGATATACATTGTACTGTCAAGCAATGCAAAAAATGAAAACATAAACACATAGATGATTTTCATTGTATTGTCAAGCAATGTGAACATTTTTAGAATTATTATTGCCATGACTAGAATTGGAAAAGGAAAACCCATCAGCAAAAACTTACTAAATTCTGATACTCAAGGTAGGCATAAAATTATAGTATCTACCTTCTCAATTGAGATGATTTTGGATAAGTACAATAGAGGTGTAAATATGAATGTCATAGACATGATGAAGTAAAATACACAGCAATAAATGTGTGCAAATATAACTATTTAGTTAGAATCACAACCTTGTGCCATCTTGATCGGGTAAATGTTGATAGCAGTATGGCAAGACATGACCTAGAGTACAAGATGAAAATTTGTAATTGCTTAAATTAATATAACGAATTACCTTTATTTTTACCTTGAGCGTTCACAATTCCATTCGTAGGTGGCAGGTAGATAAAAGATGAATATAGCAAGTGCGATGTGACGGCTTCATTGGTTATCTTACATGGGATGACACCCAATTTAACATTCCAACCCAATTAAATGAATTAAACTATTATACTCAGCAATAAGAGTTGTAAATATGAGACTGGGGTTGGCATAGAACAATTACAGCCTCCTCCGTAATACTAGGCCTTGCCCTAGGCCTCCTTCCTATGGTTGACCCTAATGTGGATGGCATGTTGATCAACTCAAATCAGAATTTTGACTCAAATGCCCAATCAATTACAAGGGGAATGGACAACAATACCTTTAATTTGTTTGAAACCTTTAATTTGTTTGAAGTGGACACCAATTGGCCTTTCCTTCGTAGTTTCCTTGGTGCATCCTTCCTGTTCGACGATTTAGGATCCAATATGCTCATGCTCCCAGTATTTTGCGAATCGTTACAAGTAGAGGCTGAACGAATAACACGCTGTGAAATGGTAGTGCTTCCACTACTCGATTTTTGACATCTACATGTGTTCTGCTTGCAGTTTTATACATTACATTATAGCATGTGACCACTCTTTATCATCTTCAGTGAGGTCTGCCACCTCTGAGAAAGCCTGACACATCGTCATATCTTACCTATCACAGAGCACTTTCTAACCCATCATAATTGACTTTGACCCTTATGTGTGCTCTTTTGACATCTCTTTTCCATCTTTGTAGTATATACCTATTAGACATGGACGTGATGTCATTGCAAATCAAGATCGTGATCGCATGCCTGCAAATGATTCCTTGAAACTTGAATAAATAGCAACTACAAGTAAATTCGCATGTATCCCTCCAAAATGAGACGCAAAATGTTCTTCTCTTCTGGTGCTCACGAACATCGTAGTTCGTCCAAAAATATTCATCCTTCTCAGAGATGACATCACAATAGACCTTACCAGTGAATTCATTTTGTACTTCCTTGAACTTTGAAATGGTATACACTGATTGAAATTGTTTCTCCATTTCGAAAGTTATTGCACATGGTACCATTTGGGAAAATTACTTGAAATTAGCCTGAAACTCTTTCTCAACCTTATTCTTCAATACTCTTTCATATTGTTCCACGAACTGCCTCAACAAGGTCTTTGAATTCACATATCCATCAAAAAATATGTTCATACTTTCACTTCGTTGTATTTTTGGACATCCCTGCCCAGAAAAAGGAACCCAACGACATCTGTTATCGTACAACCCCGACAACCATTCATTATCATGCAAGTCATACCTATCAAGCATCACCTTCTAACCTTGCATTCTTCAAAAAATTGTAAATTGTATACTAGGTCATGTATGAACAAAGTAGCCTAACTTTTCTAGTAACTTCTTCAAAATGTGTCACAAACACCATCTATGCCTTGTATGTGGAAAAACAATATCAAATGTCTTTTGTATTACCCCTATCTTGATTAGTAATTATTCCATTAGGAGCTTTACCATGCATACACTCGAGCTATGTTCTGAACAACCACACAAAAGTTCCTATGTCTTCGTTCGATAATAGTCCACAACCAAGCATAGTTGATTGTCTGAGATAATTTATGCCAACAAAAGAGGCGAAGGACATGTCGTACTTATTAGTGAGATACGTAGTATCAAAAGTGACAACATTACCAAACTCCTTGTAAGATTACCTACATATATTATCTGCCCAAAAGTACATTCTTCATCCGTGACTCATCGTCTAAGTTCAGACGGAAGTAAAATCCCGATCACCGTACTTGCATCCTTGAAAAGTACGCTTGTATTATGGTGGCATCTCTTGTTTGGTTAATGAATTTTAATCATCACAATAGAAAATTAATTTTCCTTTGAAGATTAAATCATGTAAATAAGGGTTTAATTGACCTTGAGATCATTGGATTATTAAATCCTCACATATATTGAAAGGGGAGATGATAACCTTTTTTAAGGAGCTATTAATGACTTAGCCAATTGCTTCCTCCCTTAGATCTTCTCCCTTATTCTCCACTATGTGTTATTCCTTTTTGGGGAATGTGAAAAGTGGCTAATCCTAAAATCACTCCAAAATATGCCAATAAAGTGCATATTTATAATGACCTATTATGGCTTGAAAATTGCACAAATTTCCTTAGACTTTATTGTAGTAGGTCAATTAAGTCACACAACTTTTATTGAAGTCAAGAGAGGGACCTAATTGGACTCATATGACCCAAGCTCCAATAGATGTTTTCAATTGGGTCAACTCTTGACCCATTGAGATACATCTATTAATCCCGGCTTATTTTACCAAAAAATCGAAATTGCACTCTCAAGTCGAGTGATAGTTATAGAAGCAAATTATGGTCCAATAACAATATCCTCTGATTATCGTTCCCCAAGTCAACCCCATTTGATCGTCAATATGTTGAAACTAGCAAAATGACCGTTTTGCCCTTCAACATGTATTACCCTCTAAGTCTTATTTTCATACGGCAAATTCGTTGTGATCAAATCACAATGTAAAGTCCAACGATCTCATCGTCGACCTACTGAGCTCAAATTCAATTTGCCTAGGAAAATACCTTAGAGTGATGATTGTCTTATATTAATGCTTAATGGATTCCAATATTGTAAGTATATGATCTCTAATTGTTTCGGCCCAATTCCCAAAGCACCGAGATCAATCTTCCATTTAAGACTTCACTCATTGGTACCTCAAAGAACTTGAACTAGCAATCAAAGTTACATTACTCACTCAGGATTTAGGTGACCTGTTTAATAATCAAGTAGAGTCTCATTTCAAACGGTCACAAATGAGTCATCTACGCGGTCCCGTTCAATGTGCATCGAAACACATTATTGTTCCTATTTCAAGATCTTGACAAATCTTAATAAGAACAATACAATCTTATCAACATAAAGCATCCAACTTTATGAACCGATTGTGAACGACATAATTTTGATCACGTCACAATTGTGTCTTACTATACCCGATATATCGAGTATAAAATTTGTGACATCCCTTATGATCATGGAAGCTTAGACAATCACTTCAAATTATAACAAACAAATAAACGAACGCAAATTCATAATGTGATTTTATAGAACATTACTCGAAGAATGGGTATCAAATTAACATTTCCTTCACCAAGTTGTAGTCATCTCACTTGTTTAGTATAGTTCCGACAATTCTTCTCCATGAACGTCATCTTCTCATATCTACATGCTGCCACAACTGCGGAGTTAAAATTCTTCTACAAGGGAATTTCTGCAATATCATTCAATTTGTGATTTCGTTTCACACTTGCATTCAACTTTCGATTGCATAAATACAATCTAGATTTAGATGGACTTGTTTTATAATTATGCTCGATGTACACTCATATTAATTTTCCATATTTCAAGGCTATCTAAAGTTGTAGATATTCTTGCTTTACAATCCATCTGACATGTTATTTGTGGCTTCAAAGAACAGCTTACTTTCATGACTACATGTGAATGTCACATATCTCATAACCTTATCGTCACCCTTTTTCGAATTTCGTTTCCTCAATGGAAAGCCTATGGCATAAGCACATCTTTTATAGAAGTCCAACATTTCTTTTTCACTATTAAACATCACACACCTCAAGCTTAGTCACAACATCTCCTCCTAATTTTTCATTGTCTAATGTGTTCGAATTTGTCGCTACATTCTCGTTATCACATTCTACCAAGACATCATGATTCTCATCTTCTATAATCTCTTTTCCTGCAAGAAATATTGTGATTTTGTTAGAAGTTGTAAATTACATGTAACTAAAAGCACAACTTTGCCACTAATAGTAATTAACATGCTTGTGATGAAAAAGAAATAATGGCACATAAGGTTGTGAAATTAGTAATAGGACATAGCCAAATTTTTGTTGATTAAGGTATATATCCAACAAAAAAAGGAGAAATTCATAAATTAGCTTCTCGAATCACTATTATCTTTTTGTCACTCATGAAA